CCTCAGGACTTGCAACAGTAGAACAACAATGAAAGGAGGTCTGGAAACTTGATGAGCACGTGTCTCATATTCTTGTGTGCTCGTTCCTTCAAACCCAGAACCGCAACCTCTGGAGTCTGGTGCAAGCCGTAAAGGGAAAAGGATGTTCTACTTGTCCATCCTAGTAGCGATGGCCTCCAACCTACCCACCGCAATTTCAGCAACAAGTTCTCAGATCCAAGGGGCCTGTGCCTTTTGCTCTTTCGCCTCCATCCTTTTGGTAATCGACATCGCTTCCCGTAGATCATGAATCAGCTTTTGAAGCCTGTTATCCACAGTGCCTCAGCATTGTGCTTCACGGCGTCCGCCACATTCACACATCCGCCAAACCAGGTCAGCATCTGCTCTACCCACCCAGTACCCAACACCCGCGAACCACCACAAGCACGATGTTTTCATTTTGCAGCCTGTTGTGCGGTGGTCTGCCATGGTTTCCCAGATTCCCAGCATGTGGTGCTCACACACCCTTGAGACACGGCAATGCATCCATGTCGCTGAACTCTTGGATGGTTGAGTCCTTCGACTGGGGCTTGCAAGTTGGAACAAAACATGCACGGAGTTTAGTAAATGGCTCAAGTCAACTGTCCCAGTGGGTCACTCTTGGTTGTAGAAGACTGTTTTTCTCTGCAAACTATCTTCAGCGAAAAGGTCTCAGAATGCTGAGTGCCCATGCTCTGGGCTCCAGAACGTATGATGACCACACTGGCATCTGCACAAGTCCTTTTCATTCTTTTTTCTACTTCTCCCCAACCTCGCAATTCGCTCGCAGAACGCCTCAGAACGCCGGCATCCGTGTCCTTGGCGGCCGAGCTCAGCTCCACAATGGAGGATCTAAAATTGATCACGGTCGCCTCGGAACCGGGTGGAGCGAGGCGCGGAGCACCTCTGGGCCGCGAGTGAGTGGTAAAGGAAGTCTCGTGTGAGTGGTCCAGCTGCGGAAAGGGACGGGAAACTGCACATGGAGGGGTTGCTCGCTCGCTCTCTCCCTCTCTCTCTCTCTCTTTCTGAAGAGTCTAGCTGTCTCACACCGACACCTGTCGCGCTTGGAAGGGTTGCTGTGCGTCGCGGACGTGAGGTATCCATACATACGCCTTATGTAGTGCCCTTTCGGTCGCATGCACACATACCGCGCTCAGACTGTACCCTTTCGCAAATGAAGGGCCTTTGCCAACACCGGTGTGCCGGTGTTCGGCACTCGATCAAGAGAGCCATGCTCAGTCTGTGTGGAAGAAGAGTTTGGAGTGGCTTCAAGTCCAAGTCTAGGAGTCATTAGGAGTCGTCCAAAGAAGCACCTTGTGGTCCAAAAAGGCCAGCAAATGCTCACCTACACTGCGCTGTAATTAGGCCATGTTGTAGGCCTTTGGAGTCTCGGGCTGTTGCTTCTCAATTTCATCCAGGTTTACAAGCAACACCTGAGATTCCAACGGTAACTATCAAGGCCATAGCGATCGCAAGCATACCTTGGCTGCACGCCGAAGAATTGGCATTACAAGCCGAGGTACTGTAAGCTTGTCAGCTTTGCAAAAAAGAACTATATACCCCTCTATGTCAGTCTTTTGACGTCTCTTTCGCCTTGTTTGTTTGTCTTGTTGATTGATATGGTCGCATCTGTTCTGCAGTTGTGTTGGAGAAATCCCCAACCCTCTTGCTCTCTCTTTTTACGGATCATCAGCCCGATTTGACGCGGTGGGGCCCACCAAACGAGCCTACCTCTCTGGCACTTCTGCACCCTTGCCTCTCTCATCCACTCCGTCCTAAATCTGCACACGGCATCTCTTTGTGGGTCATTACGAAACAGGACGTTACGAAGATCTTGGAACAAAAAGTAATGCATAAACTACATTAGACCTTTCTTCCTGTTCTTTATTCTGTGTTTCCAATAGCGATAGGCCTCCAACTTAATAGCGATGGCCTCCAACTTAATGGCGATGGCCTCCGACCTAATAGCGATGGCCTCCAACGTAATAGCGAGGCGATGGCCTCCAACCTAAGAGCGAAGACATAATGTTCAAGTGGCCGAAACGGAATCGCCTGAGCATTGGGGTCTCGCTGGATGTGTCATCACCTGCGGACTACAGCAGCCAAACAATCACCTACACCTGGCCGCCATATGCATGGCTCTACACGTCTACCATCCTGCGAATCCTATGCCTGCACAAGTCGCATGAGCCATCAAAACATACCTGGTGGCGTCTTAAATGGTTTCGCGCCAAGGTGCTACAAAATTATGCGAAAAATGACTCTTTTGAAACATGATTCTGCAATGTGATGATGAAACGAGAAGACGACCACGCTGAAACATTTTTTCTCAGGGTTTAAGTCACCAACATTCACTTGCCAAAACAAACATACACAAAACTTCTTGAACTTCAGGGGGGCACCAAAAAGGTTGAACCAAACGGCAAACAAGGTTATGTTGGTGAACGACCATGAAAGTACAGTCAACATAGAAAGAAAACTAAACGCCCTCCAGGGGCCCGTATGGCCGTGACGCCAAGAACAACAACCACCACCACCACCACCACGACGACGGCAAAGACGACCACGGGCGTGTGTGTGATGCAAAGTTATGGGATTTTATGATATTTATGGGGGGTCTCAGGCAACAAAGACAGCAGGCAAGTTTTGTAAAGTTCATTGCTAATGACTAACCCAGTCGGCACCTGGAATGATTGTTTGAGGCACCTGCCAGTAAATCAATGTAAATCAAACATAGTCAACCCATCAGCTCCACACCTACAGAAACTAAACAGCGCCTTGCACCAGGGCTGCGGATTCATCCTCAAGATCAGGATGACCCAGGTGGAGCGTCATGGAATCGAGCAAATCGAGCTACGTCAAGGCAGAAACTGCTTGTGCAGGCGACCTTCGAGCCAAATGGGCCACCAGGTAATGAGGCAGTAACATGCTCACACCACCAACGTAACAAAGAAATGCTAGAAAGTAAATTGTTTACAATACAAACATGTAGATCAATTGTGGAGTGTATCTATCTCAACATGCCCCCGCCTATGGTCACCAGGGCTTCAGAACAGTCACCACCCTCAAAAAATGCTTCAGAACAGTCTGGCCACCGCGGACTGCTTTTCTAAACCATTCTTCGTGATGGATGACCTCCTTGAGCACTACAGCTATGGGCCTCATTTCGAGGCGCAGCAAAGAAAAGACGCCTCTTGCGCAGGCTAAAGACGCGCGTTGGTTCGTCGAGTCTGCGCAATGACAGCTTGTGGGGCATCCATGGAACCTAAGCCGAGCAATGCACGCAAACTTCATTTCCGGGCAACCCGCTGTTTAGCCTCTGAAAGAAGTGACGTGCTTGACTGGTGCTTTTTTCCATCTGTGATCCCTGGTGTCGTCAGGCACTTAACGTCATTTCCCAGACTTCTTGTTGTCAAACAGTCAAACGTGGTGTTCCCAGATCAAAATTGATACTCATGTCTGTCTTTTTTCCCGGAACGCTAGTATACGACCCAAGGGTGGGGTACTGTAGCGTCTGGTTTTCGTGTCGCCCATGGGACCTCTGTTGCCCTCCCTGGAAAGTTCGCTGCATTCGCATTGCAAAAAGGACCCGTCACAACTCTCTGTGTCAATCTCGCTCTCGAGCCCATCCACCCGAGCGCTTGTGAAGTAGAGAGTTGATTTCACTGGCGCAAGGCCGTGGAAGACTTTGCCATACCAGAACACTATGTGAGTGGCGGACAAGAATTGTAGCTTAGACCACTGCCACAAACAAAGGGTTTGGATGTGTGAGTATCGGTTGTAGGGTTGGGAGCCGATCCTGTATAGTTTAGGCCATAGGCAACATCCCTTCGTCCGTCGCCTTACAGGAATGTCGGTTGCTCATTTGTCACCCTCTGTCAGGGGGGTGCGAGATCAGGTGCAAGAGCTTGGACGGGCGTGAAATGGGCATGGGATTCAATGGGCCAGAGGCAGAAGAATCAAGCTGGCTGGTACAATGGGCGCGATGACCTTCAGGTTATGGGGTAGCATGGCAGAAAACAGGGTGAATCTTGCTTGTTTATATGCCAGCACTTGTGGTTCCCCACCAGTTCTTCCACGTATATATTATATATATAAATGTATATGTGTGTGTGATTTAAAAAAATATGATTTATAGTGGCAAACAACCAAATGAGGGCGTGGCTTCTTTTGGCCAAAAAGAAGTCACATAGAGCATCCAGAGGATCCAACACATAGAACAACAAATCAGCATTTCTAAGCCATGCACGTAGAACAATGGAAATCCATACGCTGAGAACTCATCTCAACTCATCTCTAACACTTAGAGCATATAAACACTCAGATGTATATGATATATGAATTGCCCGTCACCATATACAGTACATCATATAAAAGGAACTTTGCGAGAAACACGGGGGGAACCGCTTTTTTCATTCATCTGGAGCCGAGCCCCCATTCACATCCCATTATGCGCTGATTTGTCTATGGGACTGGTCCTCGATGTGTCTCACTTCTGGCTGCCTTGCCTCTTCTGCCTTGACCCTTCTCATTAGACAGGATTCAGTGCAACAGCTAAGCCCAAGCGCTTGGCGCTTGGTGCGGCTACCGGTCGACCACGGAAATCTTCGCTTGAAAATGTGAAACATTGAGTACCCATGTGAAGAACATATGTTCTGAAGACAAGGCAATGCTAAGGAAAGGGGATTAGACGATCGGACGGTTGTGGCGGACACGCAATGCCTCGCAAACACGGCTCCAACACAAACACAGCGAGACGCTTGTGAATTGACATGGTGGATCATAAGCTTCCAGTTGGTGGAACCGATTTTTGTTCTAACCATGAGGGTTCAACTTCAATAGGCTCTTTGAAATCGCTGGTCGGCCGTTGAAATGCCAACTACACGCGAAGAGATTGCAACACAAGCACAAAATCTATGCCTTGGACTTCCTGAGTTTTTGGCCACAAGTTGACCCATGTTCATGTTCAGCTGATTTGGCCTCAAACCAATGCCTCAATCAAAAACAACATGTTCTGTTGAGCGAAGGTAGGAAGCCCTGTTCGCTCAAGTGGTAGCAAAGCGCTCTCCTCAGGCTGAGGGGGTGGAACTTCCTGCCATCAGGGCAACTCAAAGAAGCCTGCAGGTTGGAGGCCATCGCTATTGCAGTAGGTTGGAAGCCCTTGCTCTGACCTCAAGCGACTAGAAGACATGCCCATCTCAATAAAGCGCAATGAGCATTGATGAGCCTCTGTGTTGTGATCGTTCTTGTGGGCCTTTTGCGCAAGCCTCTTTTAGTATCGTGCTGGCTACTTGGTCTGCAACGCTGCATGCTTTCTCTAGTCCAAGCCTGAACTGCAGGATCACATTGGCTCATTGGCTAAGCCTGACCATGATGCAAAAACATCTGCGTGCCAGTGCAATGCAATGGCGGGCAAAGGCGCAATGCCATCCAATGCTATTGCAAATTACGGAAACAATGCCTGGAGGTGTACAGTGCAGGTCATGCTGAGACAATTGCGACCATTACATCTAAGGCTCGAAGTGAATATTGTCGCAATCAAAAGGCTTCATTACATGATCTCCGTTTGATAAGCTGCCCTACTGAGAACATAATAGCCTCCAAACCGACATTGTTGCTAATTACCTGGCGGCTGGGTTGCAACATGTACTTAATCCATCTTAATCCACATTGTATAATTAATGAGGATGTTGAATGGCTCATGTCTGAAGGACACTAGTCCTAGGTAAGATGTTGCTGAGTCAAAATGCATTGCGGTTGCGGCTATGCGGCTATGCCATGCCGTCAAGGGTGAACCTGCATTGGCGAGGAAACTGCGAGATTTCTGCTAGCTACAAGTCTCCCTCCTCCAAAGTTTGTCATTGTATGCCTTGGTAGAAGCAAGACAGCCACACAGCCAGAACGTGAGTACGTGTGTGAGTGACTGATTGAGAAATTGAGAGAGTGCATTGGAAAGAATTGAAGAACCCTGACCCTGGAATCCGGATCCTTCCCAAACCTTTCCCCAACTTCGGCTTCGGCCTTCTCAGCTGGTGCTGGCCGTTGTGGATTTTTCTTGGTCAAAAACAAATGATGCACACGTGCCACTCCGGCTGGCATTGCCGAGGTGTTGGCCACCGGAGCCGTGGTGGTGGAGGCCGCGGGCGCCGCGGCCGTTGGGGCTGCGGTTGCTATTGGGGCTGCGGTTGCTATGGCTGCAGCTGCAGCTTCCTTTGCCTTTCTCTCTTTCTCATCGATCTGGGCAGAAAGAAAGGAGTGCAGAGCAGAAAACCATGAATCGAGAAAATCTCCAAAGTATATATATATATACAATTTGAAGCCAGACTACTTTGTGCAGCTCCTCTACCAACACCAGTGCTGCATTTGCCTACAGTAATCTACATACTGCGAGCTGCTTTGGCTGTGACTTGTCTAGCTCACGGTCCTGTCACACCGTGCTGTCGGTGAATTCGTAGAGGACTGCCCTACTGTGTTACGGACCACTTCCGCAGCCCGCCTGATTCATCTTCCACCAGCAGTCTCCCTGCCTCGGTGTTTTTTCACCCAAAGAAGGATATCATGCAGGGACGGGAGGAGACGGGAGGAGACAAAGAAACCTGGTCAATACGGGGACTGGCCTGGTGCCCCTTAAAGACCTCTAACACATCCTCAACAGGGATTGGGATGGATTGGGTGACTGGACTTGATCTGGTTCCTCGTGCCGAGTCAGGGGCGGTGAACCTCGGTGACTCTGTCTCCCAGTCTTAAGCCAAAGCAAATGCATCCAATGCCAGCAACGAATGGTGCTGGGGGGGGGGGGCAATGGCACAGCTCTGGTCCAGAGTTTCCATGAAGAATGTTGCACGATTGCTTTTTGGTATCCGGTCTTTCTGCAGGCCGAGGTTGGCTGATTGCACATACTTGGGACACCACCTGGCTACAAGATATGCTGGAATCAAACAGCTCCAACTGCACTTCTTCAGGTGTTGGCCCCCATTGCTTTCATAGAATCAGCATCCCTGAGCCTGTGACGAGAGAGGGAGCTATTTATTATTTCTCTGTCACTTTGTCCGCCCAATCTTTGTTGGTCGAAGCTTTTCGGAAAGGCATGAAGGGCAGCTCCACAGCTTTCTTGAGCTGTAGACGGAGTCATGACGGAGTCATGGGAAGCTACTCAAAACGCCCAAGCGAGGACAAGACCTCGGTCGGTCAATCCATGCCGTTGAGATCATTCACTCCAGGCAAGGCTTCCGCCTTTTGAAGCCTCGGGCGTTCGGAGGGACTCGTTTGCCCCCGCTTTTCGGCGGGAGGACCCGTCAACTTGATTGGAACTGCTGAAGCCGCAACCTGCTTGGCAAATGATTCAATATCTAACTGTGGTAGCTTCTGCTAAGCCAGTGCAGCTGCTTCTTGACGTTCCTTCATGTTTTCTGACAAAACCTTTGTGACTGGACAACGAAAACAGCTGTCAGATTTTCTGGCCACATGCAGGCCAAGCGTCAGTTCTAGCACCATCTTGTCCTAGTCATGTCACGCAAAAGAAGAAGGGACAGCTTGCATGTCCATTCTCTTTTGGGGCTATCTTGGGCAATTCTTCCATGACACAGCAGCAAGCTTTCGACCAGCTGCAGCCTCCCAGTTTCAAGCTCCAAAACTCAGACGATAGATGCAGAAAAAAAAAACAATAATATGGTCTTATCAAAAAGGACAGCTCTTTGGAGACCAAGAGCGACATGAGAATGTTCCATCCAAAGTGCCAAAATCGAGACATCTTTCGAGAAAGCGCTTGAGAATTGGTCAACCCCATCCAAACCCCCTTTAGAAAAGAGAAACCTCGGTTTTTGATGGGTGAAATTCGTTCCACACCAGATTCGTTTTGATGTTCCACGTGCCGAGTCTGTCCTTGGGCTCCAACTCCTGCGCCCTTTTGGCAGCAGCAAAGGCCTCCGGAGAGCTTAACTCCACAAGCGCCTTGCAAGCGCCATGGCGGTCTTTGCCCAGAAAAACGGGTCGTGAGTTCCAACAAAACTCTTGTAAGATTGATTTTAGGATAGACTTCGGCTTCCCCCAAGTTACTGTAATTACTTTGTGTTTTGGCGTTCTTTTGCCTGGGCTGCTGGCTAGACCTCATGAAGTGTCAAAAAAGGTGTTCTTTTGTTCAGATCCTGTCACTCCGCCTGTGCGCGCCGGAAGGCCGCTTTGGCGTTGAGCTCATTGAGCACCAGCGCGGCCTGTGCAGCCTCAGCGGCCTCCGCGAAGTGCCCCGCCTTGATGAGGACCAAAGCCTGAGGTTGAGGACCAACAATGTTTTGAAGTGTTTTTCTTCTTAGGCGTCTTTTTCAGAGTCCGGATGTGTCTTGGGATCATTTTAAAACATGTCTTTGGTCTGTTGCTTTTGCCTGTGATGTTTCAAGAATCAAGAGTCTTTCATTCTCTCCCGCGTTATAATCATTTGTGGAAGTGCGGGGTATTTGTGTCAGGCTGCCCGATTGGAGTTCAAGACAGATGCTTCAGCGTCTGGAAGCACTTGTCCGCCCTCCTCGCAGCGTGCGGCGTGGCAACTCCAGGTGCGGCAAGAGCCCTAGGCCCTAGTAGCGTCCTTGTTCCCAGTAGTAAGGCCAGGAGCCCCTAGTAGCTTCTTGTTACTAGTAGTAAGGCCAGGAGCACGGTACAATGTAGGTGGGCAGGACATGGCATCTACAAGTAAGGCAGGCCTAGGTCCTAGGCTCGGTGGCTCGTTTTCATAAGCTGCACAACTAGCATGTTGAACAATGTTGGTCAGGTATGTTCAAGCAAACCCATCAACTTTCAGTAAATTGTGGAAACTCTTGGCATCACACAAACCCACATGTAAATCATGGACTCTGCACATCTCTGATCTCTGCTGACCTCTAATGCCAAACGGTAGATTGCCTCTGCAGGCCACCTGATAGCAGGTGAGGAACTGGCTGCATTTCAACAAAACCTGCCGATGGGACCGCCGAACATCTCACATTGGCTGAAATTTGCTGTGTATCTCCAACTCTAGCGATCCTGAAACAGGAAGGGGAGGGAAGGGGAAGCAAAACCATGCTTTTGCACATCATGCCAGAATTGGCAGCACATGAATGTACACATGCATACGTATGACATGTGTAATATATATATATATAACATTTACACCTACACATATACTAACCGCATCTAACCACCAGGGCCAACTCCTGCCAAAGCACCAAAGTTGTGCTTTCACAGCTTCACTCCCCAGCAGCTTCAAGGTTTGCCAGGCATGTGCCTCATCCTGAGACATTGACTGTTTGGCAGAGTTAGCCTGAAGCCAACTAAAAATCTGCCATGGGTGCTCTCGCATCTGATGATATCCATGTGATGCTGATTGCAGCTGTGGCTCCTCTCTGCGCTGCATGGTGGGATCGAAGAGGCTATTTTGGCACTTCTTCAAGGCGTCACCGGACAGCGGGTCGGAACCTGACATCGACGCCGTCTCGGCCATGGGAACCGGTGAACCGGCCGATTCTGGGTGCCCCGGGCGAATGGTTGGCACATTGGCCAGCTCCTGAGCTGCGAAAAACACCGTGAAGCACCGAAAAGGGAGACCTGAGACACATCAGTTCTGGTCATCAAGATGGTTTCAGGCCGAAAAGGCGATCCAACAAAACACCCCAGAGGATGCTGCTTTGAAAAAGGGCCGAGAGCGATGGAAACATGAGGCAAAGAGACGCGAGGTATGTAAGTACACCAACATGATCACTTACATGGGAGCGTATATAAGTAGAGAATGGTGGGAGTGCTTCTGTAGATCTGTGTAGAGACCAACAAAATCAAACAAACAAGAATAACGGCATGCTTCTTTACAAAGATGCATGCCGTACTGGCTCAAGTCCAAGTCCGCGTCTCCTCCAGAAGCTCTCCAGCCACTTGCCGCATCTCTGGCCCCAAGCGTGCGCCATCGGCACAGCGCTGCAAGGCCTGAAAGGCCTCATGGACTTCTGGAGGCACGGTGGCCTGGCGCTCTCTGTTTGGACGTCGAAACTGCTCCGGCCTTCCGGCAGCATGACCAGCCAAACATCTAAGTAAATCATCCATGCCCATTGACACGCAACGTCTGCCTCCGGCACTGACTGGCCATTTTGTGGCCGTAGCCAGCCAATGGCTGCCGCCAGCAGGCGAATGCTGCTGTCAAAGCTGCGGGGAAAGACCTCCCAACGGTCCCATTCGACGGCTGGCGTAGAACCCGATCGAACCCCAGAAGTCTTCACACCTCGCTTACACCATTGGTGGTGCAGGTCACTGGCTGTGCCTTTTATCCGATTTGGGGCACCGTTTGGAAAACCGGCGCCCACGCTCCGACCAGGCTTCCGGCGCCGCGGCGCGGCCTCGCCAGGCTCTGCGAGGATCTGCGCACAATTCCGCCAAAGCGGTCCGGAGCTCAGACCTCGAAGAGCGCCGTTCACCCGAAGAGCGCCGCGGTGGAGCGTCGACGATTTTTCCCAGATCGCCCCTGTCGGCGGAACTGGCAGAAAGTGAAAGGGAATCAAAAGGGCAGCATGTGTGGGGTTTGAGTCGCTGGAGTGCCAGTGCCATCACCCGCCGAGTTTCATCACATTGTCTGGAAGAGGACGAAAACCAAGCAACACATGTGCACACCCTGCTATCGTGACAAGGGTCACAGAAAAACGTGGTGCTGCAAGTGCGCCTGACAAGCAAGAATCAAGTTGAACGAGTTGCGAAAATCATGAAACATCATATTAAACATTAGCAGGACAATAACAAGATCATACAAGATCAAATTGGACAATTAACAACCTGACAACCTGACTTCTCTGCTCCATCCCCTTCCGCATCCTCACGAAATGCTCGTTTGGCATACATCGTCTGCCTCTAGGACTCTAGGCTTGCTCATCGGATCGTTGAGCTCCCATCAGATCCCAGAACCAACCGGCAGCTCTCGTGCCTGACGACCAGAGCTTGCGGGCTGCATGGCCATTTGAGGCTCCAGGAAGTCAGTCAAAAGCTCGATGGCTTGGGACTGGATGACGTGATTCTCCTGGCAGCTCCAGCTCCAAATGGCGCGGTAAACAAACACACACCTGACACCTGGTGAAAAAAGGATAAAAGTTGAAAGGACAAAACATTAAAAAAGACGAAACGAACCACCTTGAGTCCATCCAAGAAATAGCGAAAACACCGGGCCACTAACAGCACCCAAGCTACAACCTCCCGAGCATCCATCGACATGTCGAGCCCTGAAGGTGCATGCAACGAACGGAGCGATCGGACGCTACTAGTGCGGGGCTCCTGGCCTAACGCTACGAACGGGGAAATCGGTGGAACGTTGTCAGGATCCGCTTGGTCCAGAAACTGATACGCCGCCGTCCATCACTTAAATGTAGAAATCCCGGAAGGCTGTCGAGTCGTAGACCAGCTTCTTCCAGAAACTCAGTCGAGGCAATTCTACTTAAGCGCCAAGACCGTGATGCCACTTCAACCATCATTTCTCACAAAAGTCAGGCACTAGAAAAGCTGCAGCTGTTCCCTTTTCCCCCAATCCGTTCCTAAACCTGGCGCCAATGCTGTTGCCGCACTCCCCCCTCCATTGATCGTGCGCAACTCTCCGGTACGTAACTTGGAACTTTCTTATGGAAACTTGCATTTGTTCTTACAGTTCTTGATCTGCAGCCAAAAAGCCAAACACCAAGACACCTTACCTCCCTTGCCTTAGTCATCCATAGTCCTCGCTTTTGGGGTTAAACAGTCCGAGTGCTTTGGGGTCGGTTTGGAGTGCTGCACAGTAGAGCTGAGTGCGCGGTCCTCTCCCAAAAGGCTGACCAAAGACAGAAGACCTCCAAAGTGCATGAAGCGTTCAGCCAAGCCACCTGGTTTGCAAAGGCTGCAGACTCTCAAATGAATAGTAACTCGTAGTAGCCGGATCATACTCGTGGACACTTCCCCTGTATCCCGATGATTTTTGGAGTGTGCTTAGATGTTTTGGTGCTCAGTTTGTCTGATTGCCTTTGGAAAGAAAGGACATAGAGCACTGTAGATAGACACTATGTATATATATATATACCAAAAATATATATATATGCATATACACAAAATTAAACCTCTATATATATATACAGTCTGCAGTCATATATATAGAGAGAGAGAGAGACAGAGTGATATATTATAACGCTCTCTTGGCTGGCTCATGCCTAGAGCCAACTCCAGCTTACAAACAATTCCGAGCGGAGCTACAAATGCAATGATCTGCACTTTTCAGGCCAATTGGGAAGAAAAGTCCGGATGCTCGCACGATCTCGTCCCCGTCTCAGCAAGGCGTATAAAATCTATGTCGATATGTACGTGTGAATATATATATATATAGTTATGTACAGGTGTGTGTGTGTGTGTGCGTGTCCACATCGTGCGGTTTGTCAATGTCAAACATGCTGATCTGCCCAAGCCAAGCATTTCTTCGGACGAGGCACCGTCATGTCTGTGCAATGTGTAGAAGACTGATAGCAGCTTGAATTTCATCAGCTGCTCCTCTTGCGCAGATTAAATTCGTGGAAAGCCCTCGCATGTTGTAGCAGAAAGCCGAAAAACAACACCAACAGCTGCTGTCACACAGCTCTCACACATACTTCTGTACAAGCCAAAAGTTGCCAATCAACCATCAACCGCTGAAGACATGGTTTCCCAGTGGCGCCTTCCTTTTGGTCGCTTCCGGGGTCTCCAGCTGGAAGGCTTTAACATACACCTGGTCGATGTGCTGGCGATGGCCATGCAATTGAGCTATGACTATAGCTATAAGGCTATAAAGCTATAAGAGCTATCCGCTCCAGCCACATATACTGGCTGCTAGCTACAAACTGCTCTGAAACACTCGTGTAGAAGCGCCCCACTGCTAAGTCCACAATCCGGACTTGCACAGAAACTCCAGCCTCCATGTCAGACCTCAGCTAGGAGGGCAAACGTCACGTCCAACGATGAAATCGGCAAAAGACTAAACACCATGTTACGCCTCCTCAAAAATATCCAAGATCGGACTCAAACAAGCACATGATCACTGGTGTCTAACATGATCGGACACATGATCGGACTTTTGTGGGCACATGATCGGACTCAAACATGTTGCAGCTTGGCTGTGTGTGAACGACAACTCAATTGACAACTCAACCTTGGCTGGTGGAATCTTCTCCTGTCATGCAAATTGACGTTCCACATCGTTCCAAACTCAGGGGATTTGCAGGGAGGCTTGGGGATGGTTTGTTCACTCAAGGACAAGACCTCAAAGTTGTGTAAAGTGTAAATGTCTTCGAATCGATTCCACCTGGCAAAAAAGGGCAAGCAAAGCTGCGCTGTGCCAAACATTAGCAGCTTGCCCTGACGATAGTCTTGAGAGAATGTATCCCAACCACGTATTCAAGACATGTCAACTCAGGCTGGTCTGGGCTCATGTGCAAGACGAGGCACATACGGGGAAAGAAAATGATTCGCTGCGCATCTTCCAAAGACAAAGGCTTCCACCCTGGGAAGAACAGCTTCGGCGAGAAGGGGCGGCACCGGCAAGGCGCACAGGTGCCGGAGGAATCGCTTCAAAAATGTCAATGTGGATGTATATGGGAAAATTACAACATAAATATATATTAAAAGAAAGACGAAACTGTTACTGTATATTACTTCCATATATATGTATATATGTATATGATGAAGGAAGCAACTGTTGCCAAGGTCAACACTCCTGTTTTAGGAATGATCATCCTACCCTCACCAATGCAAACGTCCCTATACAAGTGGATGACCCGTACTTTCAACATCTTTCAACCCACTACCCCAGCATCTGCAGCTGAATGACCCATCATCGCCATGATTTCAGCGTCATAGGGCTTTTCAAACAAACGCCGCATGCCAGACTCCATCCTTACTGGCAAGATTTCCATCCACGCTTCCCTCTCCAGAAATGGTACGGAAGACTCGTAGCAAGCACATGCCTGTGGCCCCAGCACATGCACAAAATCGCATTTGCCGCGAGCATCATGGGTGTACTGTAAGCTGAATGCCGTCCAGCAGCCCATCTCGAACTTGTGGTTCTGTACCTTGATAGTCCTTCCACGATTTATCTTGAAGTCTGGGAATGGCTTGCATGTATGAAAATGTGTGTCCTTTTACTAGAATCTCTGTGTGTGTGTGTCTGCGGCGATGTGTGTATATATATATATGTGTGTGTGTGTGTGTTTGTGTGTTGCGCACCTGTGCACCTATGTCAATGTATCTTTCCCAGGCTACGCCAGAGGGTCCCCTCATGTCTTCATTGATCTTCATGCACCACCATGTGCATATATGGATGAGTTTTAAAAATGTACAGTATGTATGTCTGTGTGTAACTATATATGTGCACAGACCTATACCTGTATTCATACATCCTAATCTAGCTGGTCCTTGAGGATGCGTCTCATCACTGCTTCCAACGGCTGCCGCCATCTGTGCGTTAAACGTATCGAGAGAGGCTCAAAGGTACAGCCGCAAAAATGGCTACTTCAAATGGTGACACTTGGAGTGCTTACGTGAGTTCATATGAATCATGCAGTCATGCAGCTTTACTATCTTGACTTAACCAAAAGCCCTATGCCCTAGGCCCTTTCCCCTTCCAACGGGGAGTGCATGGGAACATTCGTCTCTGCTGGACTGAACAACATGGTGTGTGCTAAACTTTGGCTGGGACCTGGGAGCGTGTCCCAAGGGACAACATCTCCTCAAACACTCTCACTTGAAGTTCCGAATGATGGATGCCAAATCTACAGTATTTCTTTGTGGGCCTTGTAACTGCTTCAACTGGCTTTTCATCTGCTGCCATGGCACTTGCACAGAGCGACAGAAAGGTGGTTCTTGGGATTTGACACTCAGCTGCAATAGTTCTTCAAAGGTGTTTTGAGTAAGCCAAGACCAAACAAATCATCATCCAATCCGCTACTGCACGCCCAAGAAACTCCTAGATCCTTTTCAGTCTTGGCAGTTGAGAGTTGGCACAGGCTGACGCCCTGCGACTCTGGGTTTCGCTTGCGAAGGGCTGGCCATGTATACTGTATATTATAGCCTATATGGTCACATGAGCTTTTCAGTCAGCTTGCCCTCTGAGCCTGAAGTGGGGAATGGCAGCCTTCTCAAGAAGTGCTTCGCGCGAATGACTCTTCTCCATGACAGCGCTCTCGTCAGCATGGGGTGAACGATGCCCACAAAGTATCTATGGTGGGACTGATTCAGCTACGCCGTATCTACTATATAGGATCCAGGATGCAGCTTTCTTTACACTTGAAGCGCTTCATCATCCTAGTCGGCTGTTGTCCATGCATTTTCGTCCAGTCTGTTCGGTCTCGGTGTCTCTCTCAGGAGCCGGCCCTTCCAAGTTTTTTAAAGGATGAAACACAGCGACTTTGCTTTCCCAGCAGTTGGGGAAACCTGGGCGACACTGTGGTCTTAACATGCAGCATCTTCAGGGTTGAGTCCATGGCACATCGAAAAGTCAAAAGGTGGTCTAATGCCCACATGGTTTCAAGAAGTCCAATGCCTTTCTGGATGATTTTGGAATCCAAGCATGAATTGTATAAAATAGTATAAAGTCATATCCAAAGCCAAGCCACCACTGTAGGTGCAGTACTGGTCATGCAGCATCTGCGGCCAAAGTCACGGTTCACCCCCCTCTGCGCCACTGCATCAAACTATATTTATATAAATGTGAATCGATTCTTCTTTTCCTCTGAATGCAATGATGGACAAATAGTACAAACAAGTTCGAATGATGTTCGCACAAACAATTTCATCAAATCCTGAGACATTGCAGGGCAAGGGCTGTGTGTTTTACACCCCCCGCAACAACCAGTGAGCCCCAAACACTGCCTTAAAAATCCACCAACCAAACAGCCGGGAAGAAAGACCAACCAAGCCCCCCTGGTTCCGACGTCGTGAGCGGATGCTGACGCGGTGAGAGATCGAACAGGATTCCCAGATGCCAACCCAACGTTTGCATCATCGAGCGACAGGTTTGCTCGCGAATTGTCAAGGTCCAACCATAAGTGATGGTGGGAAACTGCCCCATCATTGGCTTTTGGAGACCAGGGTTGCCCACACAACTGACTACACTACTATCCTCTGCTGTACCCACCAAACACGGAGAGGAACATCGCAATTTGTCGAGAAAATTATGTGTCTTCTCAGGAGCCCTGTTCCATTTCTATGCTTTCATCTGAGAAAAATCCTTCCCGGGTATAGTATAGGCCCATAGGCACAACTGCGACCACGGTGTAGCGACTTGACCTGAACGAAGAGCATCACTTCCAATCCATCACCCCCATTGCCCACCGAAGGAATGAGAGTAGACCAAACTCCCAGCTGTTGGAGACAATGAAGAGTGAAGATGTCTTCACCTCGTCCATCGCAAAGCGAGCACATTCCGTGTCGCAAGAATGACAGTGCATTACGGATAGCTCCGAGTCATCTTTGTTTTCGGCCGTTGTGAATTGTGAACTTAAAAAGTGTGTCGGGTCACAACTCAAACTTTTTGCACACCAAGCATAATTCTCGAGTCTTAGGCACAAAAGGCATGCAAAGTCAGAATAGACATGGAGTAGCTAGAAGCCTACTAGGTGGAGGCCACCGCTATTAGGTTGGAGGCCGTCGCTACTAGTAACAAGAAGCTACTAGTACTGCTACTAGTATTTAACTAAAGAACCTGTAAAAGAATAAGGTCACATCACGTCACAGCAGTGAATGAGCAAGGATACTGTGGGACAAAGGTTTTGGATCGCCCACCTGGAGGATACTGTAAAGTAAATATATAAATCATCTAAAGTGCTGTACTGGTATATGAATCATGTCTCTTTGCATGGGAAGCTCCCAAAACAGGACCCCCAGGTCCACCGTAACGAGACCAGTTTTAAGCCGGAAACGCCTTGCCCACCCTTTATTGAGCCGCTGAGTTCCAAACCCATGTGAGTCCAATCCATGTTCTGATAACCTGAAGTTCTGAAGGGCAAAAGCATTGAGTTACGAACACGTCTATTCATTCTACAAGTCCAAATGCCAATGCACAGCTAATTATACACACAATGAATAGCTGGCTACGTGCACCATCCCAAATTGCACAGCCTTAAGCATTCGGTATGCTTTAAATATATCTTTGTGTTGCCCTCTGAGCACACCAATCCTTTTCAGCTCTGACGTTCTCCGTGCCTGTTCCAGTTAATACTCTATAAGCTCACTGGTGCAGTGCTCAATACGCTTCGCGAACCTACCGGAAAAAAACAAAACCAATCATAACAATTCATAACATGTCATTACCAAGTCCTTGCCTTGTTTGTGCTGTCTCGGGCCAATCTCTCTAGTCCAGAACTGCTGAAGAAAAAGTCAACTTCCACAAAAAGCTATTGAAACATATTCAAACAGCAGCCGGTCTTGTACTACCATGAGCCCTAAGCTTACATCTTGCCAACCCATGTTCAGTCAAAGTTGATTGTTTGGTCCCAAAGCTGTAGTATTTCTTGATATGTGGCATTGAATGATAAACACCGTACCATAAAATTACTGATAAGAAAATTACACAGTCTTTCAACCTTACAGATCAGTATTAGGCCACGGTCAGGGTATTGCACGCTACAGGGGGCATAACCTGTCAAAACAGTTCGTTGAGCAAACCGCTCTTTTTACCTCGGCTCACGGCTGGCGAGAACTACGAAGGAATATTTGGTTTGGTTTCCTAGCACCATGGCAAGTGCAAAGAAAAGTTTTTCCTCCAGAAGAAAAAGCAAACCTAGGCGTTTGCCTTGTTCGCGGCCGGCGCTGCGAACATCGTAAGACATCATGACCATTGTTTCTGGTAGGTTTCCGGGAGCTAATTATGAGAAAAAAATGCTTAGTTCTGTTTAGGTTATTACTTTTGTGGACTCGCAACTGGCACAATGCATGCGTCATGTCATTCGTGAACAGCTGTTCGACCAGTTCATAACCAATCAAATTGATAAAAGTCACTGGTATCCTCTCAGCCTCCACCAAGCTGGGTTGCCGCAGTAGGTATTCAGTATTCGGTGGCAGCCCGCTGGGTCTACGTTGTGTCCCGGCTTCGGATCTTCGGCTTCTGGAATGCTGAACTTGGGGATTGGTGCAATGTGTAATCGGACACAAGACAGGATGGGCGCAACCCAGCCGGCAGGTTTTTCCGCCAATCACCTTCTGTCAAGCTGCATTTGTACTTGTTTGCAACAAAGTTGTAAAAGGCTTGTCGTGAAAGAATCTCCACTGGACCTGCAGTTCGAGCGGCAAATGTGTCCCTGACTCCATCCTGAAATCTCTATGAAGCCCTTCAAATTGCCAAAGGCCACCAGCAATTCAACATGCGGTCCGTGATAGTGTTTGGGCAACTGGTGGAACCGACAGGAATACCAGGACCATTCGGAACTGTATTTTATAGCCCTTGCGAGGCACCAGAACTCGATTGGCGGCTGGGTCTTCCAACAAACTTTCGGGTCGTATTCGATCGGTCCGTGCCTTGCATTGAGTTCAGGATCTGGCAGTTCTTGAAGAACCTGTAGGGAGCAGTGCGACAGAGTCCGAAAGAGTCCGAAGCAGCTTGATGTTTCACAAACTCCCCGAGGGAGAAAACTTGCACAAGCTCAAGGGGAGTCCTTACTCAAGGGAGGGCCCAGGTCTTTAAGTCTGAAGTATTCTGTACGATCTCCAGAGCTATCGCGCCGGGGATCACATACACTATCAACATCGTTCAACATACAAAAAAAAAAAAGCAACCTGGATGTGAAACAAATTGTTTTCAGTGGTCATAGTATGATTTGGACCGGACAGCACAAACTCCCAGCTAGGAGCAGCAATCCCATGTTGCCCTTGAACCCGCAGGGCTGAAAGTCATTGTCATATCCGATGCGTGACCAGGGCTTGATCTTGACCAGGTGCAGGTCTAGCAAACAATGGCGCTCACCAAAATTGACCCGGGTAGCACAGTGACGGAAAAAGGAAGATGAAACGACATCTGAAGATGAGATACATAAGGGTGATGGTCAAGGTAGCACTTTGCTTGGCGTGAGATGTGATGAAACGATAGAATAAAATACACACATTATGCACACGCACACATATGTATATATATATATACATATAGGTGTACAAATAAAAAACTAAATAAATAACGTAGGTGTACATATATGTACATACATATTTTATATATGGATATATATTATATATACATATACATCTGTAAGTGTATATATATATATACAATGTGACAATACCAAGAGCGTGTCTTCTTTCATCCCACATGGTCTCAACGGTCAGTGTTGGGCGCCTCCCTGGCCACAGATCTGGTACATCCTTGGAGAAAGCACCGGTGATGACGCGGTCAGGCAAAAGCAGCTTGCATATCACTGGTTGCGGCCCGGGTTCCGTCCAGAGAAAGGATTGGTCATGTGATGTGAGTTATGCGGTTGTTTTTGTGGCCTGCCAGGCCTGCCATGACCAACTCTCTACAGCTTCGACCGTGAGGTTGACACCGTTTTCCAGAGCGTGTCGAGTCCTCTGACAGAGTCACTCGGGCCAATACGGAGGGATCAAGCTAGGGGCAAGTGCTGCTAGAATCTTCTATAGGAAGTTGCTCGTAGCCATCATCTTCCCAAAGATCTCACACCTCCCCGCCCACATTCGACTTCAGAATGTGGCCAACGTATCCACTGAGTGGCCATTGGAGAAAAAGGCGGCAATGCAAAGGAAACGAGCATGCGCGACAGAAAAAAAAAGCGCACGTTGGCATTCTGTTGGCCATGATTCAAAAATGTTTAAATATGTTTAAACCTATTGAAATGACTTGAACTGCATTCCAGCCACAACCGCTATCAGTCGAGATTCATATTTCCCGTGCTCTTTGATCTGCTCAACGAGCCGCTGTGGACCTGCAAACCACGGAATGCAATGCAGCCGTGGCTGTGGAGGCCACACCCATACAACTGATGAGAAGGAGACATTTTGTCGGTGGCGGAGGGTGAGAAAGGCTTCAAGAGGTTCAAAGGGTTACTTGAGCAATATGTCTGAAGCTTGGGCAAATCAAAGTGATCTGCTAACTCCTTGAGTCAAACGATGCTCAGGTCGCATCGTTTATCCCGGGAAAAGAAAGCTCTCGAACAACCCATGACGCTGGCTGTCAGGAACCATTTGTCAGCAATTCTTCAGCCGCTCACCCACTTCAATATGATTCTCTGATCTTGAGATGCGTCGGGAATGATCATTGTTGGAAACAAAAATCCTTGATGGCTCGGCTCAAGGCAAGGCTTTCTGGCACTAAGGCGCTGGCTCATCATTGAATCAGCATCCACCTGCAATCACCCAGCTTCAACACACAAAGAAAGAAAGCCAAAGCAATCACCTGCGCGAATGGATTTGCCCAAAAGAATCCCATACGGACGATCCAACCGCCTTGACGATCCAGGCATGCTGTCCTTAGCTGAGCAACGGTGAGCTTGCGACGATGATGCCTGACGTCGTAGAATAAGGCCCCGCCACATGTCCAGCTTTCATCTTTCCGCGCATCCATCAGAACGGACGCTGTCAGCCACTTGAATCAATTGGGCGGCCACTGTACAAACCGGGATGACTGGATGGGGCCATCAAAATGGCGGCCGTCAATGAAGCCTTCAAATTCTTCAAGGAATTGGTCCAAATTAAATGCCTTTTAAAGGCATTCTATTGGGCTCCAGAAAGCTCTGTGACTGGAAGTGCATCTCATTTGCGTGCCAATGCATCTCAGTCCCATCACACTGCAAACTCCTAGGAACGACCAAAGAATGTCCACTGCAAGTGCAAGCACCGCTAGCTCAATGTCATTGGCTCCTACTTTTAGCGTCAAGCGCGTCTTCACCAAATTTCAGCCAACAATCTCTGCAAAAAAAACATGACTCAAAATTGAGCTTGGCTGCTTCATTTTCACTCATCTCTGCAAATTGCTCCAGGCTGATCTCACCACATTCTTCTTCAATTTGGCGCCACAGCCCTTACTTCAGCAGCTCGGGCATGATTCCGGCTAGCCATGAGCAGTGACTGGAACACCAAACTTGGTCAGTCAGCCCCACTCAGCTTGTATGTGCAACAGCCAAGCATCGACGATCACGGGCAGAAGGTGCCCAATCCTTCCATCCAGCAGCCACCATGTCGTTGGCAAATGCTTCGGCCTGATCCAACCTACCGCACCTACGTAGCACCTACATACACATACTTGCGGCAATGATTGCAGTGTCCACAAATCCATGGAAACATGCACAAACGGTAACGCATGCGCCCTCATTATTACCAGTTGGAAGGTGTAGGAACACAAGGAGGCTCCCAGGCGCCTCTGATGCCTTGATGTAGCCAGTGTGACCTGGGTCATACCTGTCCTCAGCTGATTTGAAGCTCAACAACCCCTGGGAGGACGACTCAATGTATGTCATGCATGCCCTAAGTTCACATGGATTGAAAAGCCTAGAGCCATTCCGAGTGCTCTGCAGTGTCTTCAGTGAGCATTGTCCAACAAAAGCGCTGCCCCTCTTCCATCAGTTTCTGCAAGTCCCTACATTCTTCGATTGGCATGCCCAACACGAAAAAGAATAAACATATGAAAAAGAAACCAGCCAAGCATCCCAGAGTTCGCTAAAGAGAGGCGGGTAGGTCTCATGAAACTTTGAAAATCCACTGTACTGTCTTGCCACCTCAAGAGCTGCATCCATACGCTCAGACCAAGAAGTGGTGTCTTCGTCTGGAAACGCTACGTCGTCGAAGGCCTCGTCACCACCTTGGATACTGCCGACCAGGACAAAGGCCAAGGTTGGGCCTATCCTATTACCAGAAACAGTTGATGATGATGATTAGGTTGCATTCCTTGTTCAAAAGTAGTGATAATTGTTTACTGCTACAGGTTTGCTAGGACAGACCCAAGGCCAAGGCTGAGAGAATGGATTAGGAACAAAAACTCCTGGACCTCTTGGCTCTACCCTCCCACAGCTTCAAAAAGAATGATATCCAAAGCGACTGCCAGGCCCATGGTTTAGAGGCAAGCTCACCTGCGCAAAGCAACTACACTTCTTTGTCTTCCATCAACACAACATGGAATAGCCGCGCTGAGTGCTCAGCATTTGCAACCTTTAAGCCCTGTGGAAAGCAATGACGAGGAGCATGAAATCACAGTATATGAAGAGTTTAGATGGATATATATATATATATATGACTATATACCATATTGACATGTTAATACATAAATATATATATATACTGGCACTAACACTACGCCTCAGGAGCCTCAAAACTAAAAAGAACAAGGTCAAGCGTCAACTCTAGAATGTAGCAGCCTCAATGGGCGTCCCGTCGAATGCAATCCCACAAGCACAGCACCTGGCATGACTGCGGACGTTGACCAAAGTCACGTCTCTCCGCAGTTTTTTCAGTGCTGAGCACTGAGCAGGCTCTTTTTGATCAAGATCTTGGGTGTTTGGATCCCGACTGAGCCCACTGGCCACACTGGTCCCACCTGTTCATGGCCTTGGCACATCTCTCGCACATGCACTGATAATCGAGAAGCTCACGCTCACGATCAAAGACACCACTGCTGGAGCAAAAGCCGCAGGTTCCACAGTAGGGATGTTGACACATCGCCTTGGCCCAATTTGATGCTGAAACCCTCCTTGTGGCTGTTCTGCCTGCTTGCTGATATGTCAGTCTGACATGTCACTGTGTGTGTGTGTGTCAAGGTGAGGTGAGATGGTGAGATGCACATGCGGATGCGGGGCAAATTCGATGGGAGCATCGAATACTCAAAGCTACTGTGCAATGGTTATCAGTCAATGGTTTGCATTGCACACAAACAATTCCATCCAAAACAGTTCCGTCCGGGTCTCCATTTCAAAGCATCCGGTGCAATGGGAACCATCCTCCGAAGGTTTGCAGGAGCCGCTGGTCGGCAGGACAAAGTCTTCCATGCGGCTCCGATGTGCGGCTGCCATACGCGCGCCAGCCTCCATCTTGGCCGATTTGATCTTCCCCATCTTCCCTTTCATCATGGTATCCTGACAAAAAAAGCCCTGACAGTATTGGCTCATGGCCTTAACATGACACCACCACTTGGAAGGTGTTGCTTTCATCAAGCCAGTGGCACCTTCCTCGACACTGCGTCAGGCAGCAGCGGCAACCAGCGGCTAAGGCACCAAATCGCTAGGTGGCACACTGGAAAGGCTCTACAAAACGCTAAGACATGCCAAGAACTTCAGTCTTGTGGCCATGAAAAGGGCTCCAAGGGCCTACTATTACTACGGTGACCATCCTCTGCCTGGTGATTGGTGCTACTTACCACCATGTTTCTGCGTTCGATGGCTTGAGTGATGGAGCATGAAGTATGAGGCAATGGCGCTTTGAGCGGCGCTGATGCTGCGGTGCTTCAAGTCGATGATGCAGGGAAATCCAGACGCTTCTGCCTTTCACTTGTTGCAATGCGTCCAAAGTGGCCGACCTTCTGGCAGCTAAGGGGTAACATAACAAACCAAGCAAAACCCCATCTCAATCAGAATCAAAGAGTGGTTTGGCTTTTTTGAGATTGAAGGCAACACGGGCCGGTCCAGACTCCAGACCGCTCGTTGCAGTTCAAGTGTCCTGCAATGCCATCTTTCGCTGCCTTGTCCCAGGCCCGCATGAGCACATTCGCCTGGCTGTGAGAGGGGTCTGGATTTGGTCGTACCCTGCTCAGCAGTAAAATTCCAGATAAAAGCCGTGCTGCTGTGCTTCAAGCATCATGCAGTTTATGCGACAACTGTGCCAGAGCAAAAGGCAAGAGATCATTACATTCAATTAGAAGACAACATTTTAGAACCAACACCAACCTTGAGCCTTTTGGTCTAGTCATGCGGGGTGTTGCTGCATTCATGAATATAATTGAATATACTATATCTGCGTAATGAGTTTGATGGTCAAAACAGTTGCCCGGACAAAACACTTCAATCAGTTGAATTGTTTTGGAACACATTCATGTAGAAGTGATGTCTGCTTCTTTTTGTTTATCGTTGACGTGTTCTCCGTAGCTTTCGGAATTCCGATAGCAGTAAATGATGCCATGTCATTGCTGAGCCCTTCAATGTCCTCTCAGACCTATCATGCTATCAAACAATTGAGTGTCTCTCGTTCGCGGTTCAGGGCCCTGCCGGGCCCGCTTGCGCGGGCGAATGGACATTCGCCATGGGTCGCACCGATGTCGGAAGACGCAAATCCCCCTGCATGTCGCGACCGAAATTTGTCTGCCAAGTCGCGTTCATGATGTAAGGCTTTGGTGATGCGCAACCAAGGCAGGTTTGCATGCCTTTCATCGCTGGAGGACCTGCGCGAGATGCGGCGCGCGGGCAAAAGGTTTCGGCCTTTTCAGAGAGTTGTCTACAAAAATGCCGCAACCACAACCACTTGTCAAACTCTCTCCCATTTGCCTACCCCTATCCCAAGTTGACTTAAGCTTGGTATTGAGACCACTGACTACAACCAATGGTCATTCCCTTTTGGGGTGCTGAACCGGCTGAACCGGCTGAGGGGGTGGGCTCAACCGGTGTCAACGCGGGAAGTCACCGTGGAAGGCTGAATTTCCGAACAAACCTGGCCTGGAATAGGGATTGTCTTCTCCACAGTTCCTTGCCGAGCCGCAGGCTCATGCGGAAGCCTGTTTACCTCCAAATGCTCACACGATATACAGAACACTAAGCTAAGCTAGATCTAGACTGACTAGATATTAGTTTTTGCGCATGAGGGGTGCTTCAGCTATTAGACCTAGCGGATCCTAGCGGCATTTTCCGCCTACTTGGGCTGGACGCCTCCTTGTAGGAACATTGCCGTGGCGCCACGGCCAAAAGGCAAAAACTGGTGCAACATGATGTAACATGTGTGAGCTTCTGAAGCAACCATCTAACAAAAAGACATGACCACGACCACGACGACAACGACAACCAACGACAACGACAATGCGTGACCTTTCAAAAGAGATGCGATGGATCCGCTTGGTGTCTGATCTGCTGGTTCACCGTCTCCACTTTTTCTCACCAAGTCACCATCATGGTGCACGCCCAGCACGATCGCCTCAGTGGGGTGTGCTCGTTGCATGCCTCAACCCAACCCGGTTTCTCAAAACTTGCGAAAAAATGACATAGGCACAAGGTGATCTCCCAGTTTGCCAAGGTGATTTTTCAAGCAATGCTGACATGTTAGGGCAAGCGACCCCGTTCGGCCCCTAAGAGTCAATCACAAACAGCTCGGAACGTTGGTTCTTTTCGGCCATCTGACTGATACACCAAGGCACTTTGGGTGGACCGTCGGAATACACGGCCCAGTGGTTACACTGAAAAATGCCCGTCCTCTTTTTGAACCTAGGCAGGCAGGCTTCACACAAAAACAAGAAAACACAGCAACGCAGCCTCGAAGCCCCAATTCTCACGGTATAGACGGCATGCACAATTCGATACAATTCGTGCCTTTCTCTGCTTGGTGCTCCACTCACATGCAAGGTCCCGGCTGAAACTTTGCCAATTCCATCTCCATCCCTGGCTGCACGACCATGAAACCTTGGTCACAAAATTGGACCCCTGCACGTTCTGTGACGGTCTAATTCGAATTCTAGTCTGAACCCAGGACCGATTTAGGTAGCTGTGGTTGCACCTCAACATCCACACGTATACTTTCTCAAGACTCACAACATCTCACAACGGTATCTCTACTCTGACATCTGCCAGGCCAGGGTACAAGAAGACCTGATCCCTCGAACTCATGCACCCGAAAGAATTTTCATGGTCAAACGGTCAAATTAACAGCTTCCAAGCGCTGCCAAACATTTCCAAACAGCTGGCATTTTGCCTGTGCATGCTTTGGGGAGATGGTCTTCACATGGATGTCCTGTTGTGAAGTAAAAGTTCCTTCCTGCTTTGAAGTGTAAGCCAAAGAGGAGGAGTCTTTATCGTCAACGGGAACATGGGCAGCATTGAACCGCCGTAGATTTGCAGAGGGTACCGCATGTCGCTCTCAGCTGGCAGGTGTCTGAAGACGGAATGCTGCATCAAGCGCATGCCAAGGCTTCAGAAGCTGCAACAAAAAGACGTCTAGATGCTGGCAAAACAGGAACAAAAAAGGTGAGGACGAAATGTCGGACGAAACACTGCCCAGAAAAAAGGAGAAACTCGAAGCAAGACTTCGCAACACCAACGACTTGAGGAAGCTGGAGCGGGCTTCTTGTTGCAAGAAGCTCAAACGGGTCTAGCCAACAAAGGAATCCAAAGGATGCTTGGTTGCTTCGGTTATAGACTACATGAAATTTCAGAGCCTCGGCAGGCTGCTTCAAAATTGGATGGATCCAATTGGATTCAATTGGTCTCCGAAGGCATGACATGAGTCAAATAACCCCACAAAAAGAAAGCAAACGACAAAGGGACACGCACATACACAACATGTTGGTTCAAATAATGCTTTAGACAAAGGTCGCAGCTGCGTACCCCTTCCCCAGAGTGCGGCACCCCTGCCCAACCACACTGAGAACCAAGAGGCAGAAAAGTGATGATTTGTTTTTCCATACATCGCCTCGGCACTGGAGGATGGTCAAGCAACATGTTTTTGAACATGGGGTTGCCATCTGGTTAGCATCAGCAGGTCGAAAGTGAAATTGCATTGGACATAGTTGGGCAGCAACCACTCTACCCAATCAATACTGGTTGTGCCAACTGGATTCACAGAACTGTTTGGAGCAGCACTGATTGAGAAAAAAGGGAACTCTCGAGTCAGGTGGTCCAAATGTACTGAGGGCAAGGAAGTAGCGCAGCAGGTGCATTCTCAGGCTCCAGGCCAATGGTGTGGTTATACTTGTCCAAGAAGCTAGGTTCCTGCGACGTGGCGGACATGTACAACCTTGTGTATGTGTGTATGTGTGTACAAACTTTTTTGCGGTATAAGCATGTGTATATATAAAATATATTATGCATATGATGTGTGTGTGTGTGTCCCACCCTGGACAAAGGGTCTTACCCCACCACTTTTCCACAGGCAGGGGCACTGAGCACTCCTTGGCAAACTCAGTGCAACGAAGCTATGCCTTGGAGTGGGAAGCACGGATTGATCACCCGTGTGTACCTGCGAAAACTTTTGTACAAGCTGTCTAATCCGCTCGTTTTGATTCATGGTGGTTCCACATGATACTTTCCCCACAAACAGGTTTCCCACTGCACAGCAGCTGCTGACCGCCACCTCCATTTGCGCTTGTCGTGAAACCTGTGTTAAACAGTACATTTCAGCTGACCTTTCCACCTTGCCGTTCCATCGCCTTCTTTCCCATTGAGACAATTGCGCTAACTGAAAATCCAAGTTCGAAGTGTGTCCTGCTCAGCCGTCCCACTCGGGTGCTGAGTGTGATCCCCGTCACAGGGGCGCCGTTCTTGCATGGGAAAGCAACCACCCCAACGCACCACCGCTCACTGGAACTTCACAGGAAGGCACCGACACCCTCACAGAATCAACCGCCACACCGGCCGCCGGGCCAAAAAACGGTTCTTGAAGAATCCTTCAGATTCCGAACTTCTGATTTCAGATTTCAGCATTCAGTTTTCTTTTCATGGTTTCCAATCATGTGCGTGTTTCTATGTTCGCCATGTTGCTGCCGCGATTCTTTCATCGACAGAACTCAAGGATGGGCATTACAACTCTTCAGCTTAATTCGAGATGCATGAACACACACCTACCAACAAGCTTACATTTAGCACCACCTTACAACATACTCACCACTTACACCAGAGATGACACCTTCAACAACAACAAGACAATACAACTCGGCACTTCTCCGCTGCTTTTTGCTGCCGCGCCGCGCCGCGCCATAGCTACGACCACGACATGCATTTTCCGTGGCCCTACGCTCACACCACGCCACCACCACTACCTACCACACAACCTCAACCCACATGGCCACAACCACCAACTGCACCCACCTTTCCCTCGACACAACCATCGGCATACCCTCACCCACAACCACAACCATTTCAACCACCACCGTTTTTGTCCACCCCTACCGCCACTGCACTGACCTACGGCACACCATCCACTTGGACTTTTGTCCCACCATGTCACGTGCCACCGCAACCCATACATCCAACTCCAGTGTTTCCGACAGCAGCACCTCCCCCGTCCTACCTGCTGCCACCACCTCATCCCACACCACCGGCTGAACTTCCTCCCCCCACTACACTGACACATCCCCCTCCAACACAGCAACAGACTGCGATTGCCAATTATCCATCCACAGACCCCCAATGCGCCATCCCCCAGGGCGTTTGGCAACCCTATTCAGCCTTTCCCCCCGTCACACAGCCTCCACTTCAACCGGTGCCCCCGCCACCGCCTCCACAAACCATCAACGCCTCAACACCAACCCAACCTCCACCTCAACAGCAGCTACCATCGGATCCAACACCACCGATCCAACCCATCCCCACGACTGCCCAGGACAATCCATTACCAGTCCAAAACACGCCTCCACCAGCTACCGTATCCCAACATTCAGCATCCCCATCGCTGATATCTGCCACACCAGCACCTGGAACTTCACTACCAGCACCAGACAAACCTGACACCACTGCCTCACCAGCACCGCAACCACCTTCCCCACAACCACCACACAGCAGTCGCCGCCACCACCACAAGAGCCGACGCAAGTCCGACCATCACCACAGAGGACGCCACCGCCACCGCCGCCGCCATCGCCATCACCGCCACTCCAAGCACCACAGCACAACCCGGCGACGGCGGTCGCCTTCAACATCCACCTACACATCCAGCCTTACGCCATCCCGCAGTCGCTCGCCACCACAACCCATTGATCTACGCCCTAACACCGAACACACCAACCCGGACCCCTCTCAATATCCCACCACAGCCGTCATCCGTCGCCCAATCAACCGTTGGCGACCTCCACCCAACTTTCACACCTTTACACCTGCAGACCAAATCCTGGAATGGCTCGAATTCCACGCCACCCAACTCGACAATCCCAACCGACCACAACACCAGTACATTGCCAATATCCTCACAGACTGCAACATCACCTACAAGGAGATCACCGATTTCCGACAATATACCCACGCTAAGTGGAATGACACAACTCACCAATACGACCAATTCCAGTACTACGCCATTTCACTTCCCTTCCTCAACACCAAAGCCACTACACCAGAGCCACCTGCGGTTTCCCGCGCCACATCAACCCACCGGGAAGTCGCCCACATCAACGCAGGCCACACAGGCCCCGTCGGCAACATTTCCAACATTCTACGCCAAGGCCGTTTTTTACCCAGCACACTCCACTTTGCCAACTACCCTGGATTTTTTGCCCAGGGCGTTCGCATCACCCACAACCAACCCCATGACCACAACGAACTTGCTCGCATCATCCACAACACCTGGCAACTCCACAAGAATTCCCATTCCCTTATCATCACACTCCTTGCTTGGGGTGCTGCCACAAAGTATACCTCTGGAGGTGAGGAACACGCCATGAACCTCCTTAACGACCACCATGGTGCGGTCTTTCATCAGAAGGGCCGCTGCTGGGTGATCCACCCGGACCACGCCATTGTCAAAGGACTGGCCTGGTCCACCAACTCCACTCCACCGGACCCATAACACCACTACCACACATCTACACGCAACTACCACCTCCACATCCACTTTTGGTCTCACACCACCACCCAACCTTTGCTGTAGCAGCAAAAAAGAGCCTCCTGCAGCGGCCACGGGCATTTTGAACCCTCAATTTTTCTAGCTCCGCAGTGTTTGCTGAGAACTTTTTTGAATAGTATCGGCTGTTTTGAAGGAGTCTTTCACATGTCAGATTCTGCATCGTGGAGAGTGATTCTTCAAGTCATGTACTCACTTGTCCAACCGGCATTGCATACTCGCTCTTTTGCCTGTGGGAATTTGATGCTCGCTTAATTCATATGCATGGCATCGGGATGACGCGCTCCCTCAGACTCGCCGCTTTCCGGCTGCTTTGGCGCGCTGCCGCAGCAACCTGTGACGATTCTTGACCACTGCACACCCCTACATCTCAGACCCATGAGCAGCACACCGACACCTCTACAAAACGACACCTCAACTCTCATACACAAAACCGCAGTGGCACTTTCGCAGGTGCACAACCTGCTTCGACAAGCAACAGATATTGTAGCACACCTCCACACGATTTTCCTCCACCACAGCCACCAAGCGGACCCCACTTTCCGCCAACACTTTCAGCCACTTCCAACTCCACCCAACCACCCTATACGTTTACCATCCACCACCTCATCCTGTGACTCAGCACCATCCAGACCACCCATCCGTTTACCAGCACCACCCTTACAAGACTCAGACGACACTCCAACAACACCCCCTGATCCACAACCCACCACAACACGCAAGCGGAAGCAACCACCCCCACCACCTTTGAACCGACAGGCCGATTGGGACGCTTGGGACGGCGACGCTGACTGTCGCCTTGTCGAACTCAAAGAAAACCCAAAACTTCGTCCCAACTGGACCACTGTGGCCCGCCGAGTGGGTTTCTCCGTTGAGCAATGCCAAGCCCGATGGCAAGAACTCAAAGACATGCAACGACAGCAAGACCAGCAACTCTTCTCCACACCACTACCAACCGCACCACCAAGACAAGCACCTTCCCCCTCACCAACACCCACATCACCAGCAGTTTCCCCAGCACCACATTCACAACCGGACTTCTCCCCTTCCCCCACCACAACGCCACCGACTTCACAATATCCAACGACTCCTGCTGCTGTGCTGCTGCCGCCGGCTGCTGAGCGAGCGCTTAGTGAAGACAGTCATCCGGAGAAATCTCCACTCACGCCAGTTGGCAGTTATTTCATTTGATCCGTTTCACCCACTTTCCTTACGGCGTGCCGCGCGACAAATCCACTGACATGCATTGACTTTTAGTTCTTCACACCCAGTCTATGTTCACCAAGTTGCCCACCTTCGATTTGTCAGTTTTCAGGCTCACCTCAGCTCCGCAGCCTTTTGTACGCCATCACAGTCCATCACCTGTCATGGCCAATCCTCGCGCTCGCCCTCATAGCAACTCCGATGATACACAACACTACCTCCCACAGTGCCCTCCGAGCTGGCTCCAACCTTCGATTTGTACCCAACCCGATTTCCAATCCCTCAACGGCTCTTTGGACATCCTCTCTATGGTCAACCAACATCTCCGCCGTCACCCACTCCACACTGAACCTATGCCCAGCCGGACTTATTTTCAAGACCAGAGAGCATACAACCTCCTTTACCGACTGCGCAGTGACCTGATCTTGCTGGACCGCCTGATCGATGACCTCTCCCAGGCTCGACGACTCCTTCAATTTGTCACCACCGGCCCCGGGCTCCCAGGACAATACCGCATCAACCCCACAGCCACACTCTCCAGCAGAAACCTGGCTATTATCCACAACATACCGCCAGGTTTTCCACTACCACCCGGGCTTTCCAGCCGTTCACCCTCTCCTTCACCACGTACCCCACCACAAGACGCAGCCCGCCTGCACTCATACTGGACAGGCCCTCCACCACAAACCACCCCGGCAACCCACACCAACACTACCACTCACACTAGGGAACGTTCACGGTCCCGCGACAGCCTCTCACACCACATGGGCTAACTACAGCAACATCCAACCTCCAGCTCTACGGCAGCCGCCGCTTTTTTTTGCCAACTATGTGACAGCATCCCTGCCCACGGCTACTGTTACTTTTGTTTTTCAAGTCTCACTGACTTTCTCGGCGAGCGGAAAAACTCAGCCATGCAACAGAAATTCTTTTCACATTCACACTGCCTACTAGTTTT